TCGATCTTACACAGAGCTACATATTACTTGGTTTAGTGTGAGATAAATTGAGAATATTAATGTTATTTATCTGTTTACCTATGAAAAATTGTTTTACGCACGCGAAAAGGTTTTTTTTCAATATTTTTTATATATTTTTGTTAAGAAATATATTTCAAATTAGTTAGAAGATGTTTCATCAAACTTAGTAGAATCCTTTGTTAATTTAATTAAAATTAATCACGATTGTTTTGATCTTCCAGCTGCTAGATTGATGCATAAGTATAACGCACACGGAGCCACAGATGTCACCGGTTTCGGTCTTCTAGGACATGCTCAAAATCTGGCGAAACATCAAAAGAATGAAGTTTCCTTCGTTATCCATAATCTGCCTGTTATTTCAAAGATGGCTGCCGTAGCAAAGGCGTGTGGAAATATGTTCCAGTTATTGCAAGGTCACTCGGCTGAAACTAGTGGCGGTCTGCTCATCTGCCTTCCTCGAGAACAGGTTATTATAATATTACTGTTAATTAATCATATAACTCAAATTTATAAGCATAGCACCTAGAGACATTTAGGATATTTAAACGACCGAAAAAATAATATATAGGTTCTATATAGCACGTTTAAAAACATTTGTTTGTGAAAAATGTGGTTTCCGATCAGTTCCATATTTTTTCCGTTCATACATTTATTGGTTTACCTTGTCAAGACATTTGTAAAATATCCTGTATTCGTGAGATGTTTTAAAGAATGGTAGATAGAGAAAACAGAAGAGTTGAAATGTAACTATTATTAATCATATACAAGGGTGGATCAAATATCATATAAACAAGAATTTCGCTCGTAAACCTCTAGAAAAGGTAAAGTGGGACGATGCAACGTTAAGGATGTTTTGGTGGAGATGTTATTCTTTTATAATAACAGTATAAAAAAAGTTTCTAGTTAGATGAGGAAAACTTATTTCTAAAGCAGAAGATTATGTAGAAAAATAAAAAAATATTTTGTATTTTTATTTCATATATATACAAAAATTTAAAAAAAAGAAATTCTCATTTATATTTGATCCACCCTCGTATATTTAGTTATATAGCTCTCCTACAATTATACACTTATATTTATTATGTATTAATTTGGACAAATAAAAATTAAACTTACAAAAGTCTTATCTACGAATCTAATCGATAAATAGCAATTAGGTATAGTTTTTAGATATAAAGTCGATACGATTTTTTTAAATTATAAATTGTGTCTTGCAGGCTGCGGCGTATTGTAAAGACATCGAAAAACAGGAAGGGTATCAAGCATGGATTATCGGCATTGTGGAAAAAGGCCTTCGTACGGCCAGAATAATTGATAAGCCACGAGTAATTGAAGTTCCATCTAAGGAAAAAGATGGTGAACTTTGGTAAAGAAAAAAGATCCAGAGATGACCCACATTTGTCTCCTCAATTATATATAAATATATATACATTCATATATTTGAAAAATGGCACGCGCATACACTCCTAACAGCACTTTTATGTGCACTACAGACGAAAAAAAAGTTGTATAATATTTATCTCTGTATATTTCCTCACAAAAAATTACGTTTTAAATGGTATTAAAAATGTTAATTACTAAATTACAAAACTAAGAAGCCAAACACATGTGAATTGTAAGCTACTTCTGCTACTACAACATAATGGCTCTTGTGATTTAATAATCGATTTATAATTCTTGACAAATAGCGAATCCCGCATCGTGTTTTATTCTTAGATCATATCTGGTAGAAAAAGTTCAATTATTTTATTTTCTTGTTTTCTTTCTATGTTGATGACTTGTAAAATTAACTGCAGATTTAAAGAGATTCGAAGTTGATGTTTGAACTTTCTTTGTACAAGCAAGATTTAAAAAATAATGAATTTAGCATCTTTAAGATTAAGGTAGCACTAAGTTCTTACCTTACAAAGCTTCAAAATGGAACGATAAATATTCGAATATGAACATATTATGTATACATAAATATATATATATCGAGTGGCGAATTTGGGTATTTGAAAGAGATATTATTCGCTGATAAATGCAGAGAATCTACAAGATATATTTTATCAATCGCAGAATACAAAATGACTTAAATAACGTGAATTATTTTATGTAACAGGTTAAAAAATAAAACTTTAAACCAAGTATATAAAAATAATTATGATAACAGTTTTTGCGAAGAAAAGATATCTTAATAAGTAGTATATGACGCAATAAAAGGTTTACGTTATTGCGTCTTGTACTACTAGTATGACTTAATAAGTAGTAATATGACGCAATAAAAGGATTCTCACGTTTTGCTCTGAGATGTAATCTAAAAATCGTAGAGCACCATACACATACACAGATATAAAGTCCAAGTGGACGAAGGCCTTCAAATTGTCTCCTATGCGTACGCTTTGAATAATTCAAAGAAATTTAAAAGCACAGGCCCTAACGTTGTATTACTTTTTCATATGAATAAAGTGCTACTTTGTCAATAAAATCATTTCGTTTTTTCTTCTATTCTTAGATATAATTTTCCCTTTTCTAAATTTTTTTTTATAAAGTATACTAATTGTATTCAGAAAGTACAACGATTATGTGAATGTTCAGTAATTGTTATTTATAATTGGATCTACACCTTAGGTCCTAATAAATCTAGAATATACTAATAGTAGCAATCGCTCATTAAACCATTATTTCCGAAATGTAGTCAACTGAAAGATGTGCTCTTCAATAACACAGATTAACATAAGTATCATTCTTTGGTAACCTTTGTGTTTACGATGCTAGAAATCGGTCCGAGATTGCGGATGAAGAAAGAATTCACCAATCGCATGAATCATGCGATCATTGGTAACCAAATTGATAAATATGATTTGTTAATTCTTTCTTTGTCTGAATCGTTTTTTTAATATTGTAAACATAAATCTCTACTCATGGAATGCCAAGAAACATAGAACGATGTTTGCGTCGATTTATGTCATTAAATGGAAACCACTCATATATAATCGTTGAGGACATTATAGCTTGTCAGAAAATGATTTATTTACGGCGAAAGTTTGATTCCTATATGGTTCAAGTTTTTTCTTGATGAAATATTCATATAGGGCGAGTACTATTATTTTTGTAAATAGTGCTTAAATTTATATTTAAAATATCAGAAAGACACATAATCGTTGAAGATCATTAGCTCAGTTGGTCAGAACATCACTTTATTATTCAGTGAAAGTCGTGGATTTGATTTCCTCGCGATCCAAACTTTCTTTTTTGTAATTTTTTATTTTACATAGGTCTATAAAGTGTGAATTGTAATAAAGTACACTGATATAAGAAAGGAAATCAATTAATTTGCTTTATCTTGAGTAAAGAAAAAGAAAAATAATTTATAGACCGGTATTCATATATAGATATATTGATATATATTTAGTAATGTTTTAAGATGTTAATGCGGCTTTCTTGACCAGTATTCGTAATCGATTCTCATATTTAAGGACTATTTTAAATCTAGTCTTAAGGGGTATCATGATTAATCAAACAGCTGCGCATTAGGATATTATTATACTTAATCCTTTCAGACCCGCGCACATTATAATGTACATATATCAAATTTGGAAGCATTTTCTGTTCAAATTATTTAATATATCATCGAAAATTAGATAAATATATAATAATATATATATATTGAAACATAACTCATTTAAAAAAAATGAATTGAACTTAATATGGATTGTTAAAGTGTTTTCATATATTGAATTAGAAAAATGTAATTTTTTAAAACTATTTCTTTTATTCTAATGGGTCTAATAAATTTTTTAAAACTAATTATTTTATTTTAATGGCTCAATTTAATTTAAGTTTATATATGACTTAAGACAGTTTGAAAATAAGAGAAGCAATTATGAATATTGGCCTCTGATTGGCATTCTGGCACAACGTTTTCAACACGTGCGCAAACGCAGTCGCGCGTGCGTCTGTATGAGAAAAAAAAAAGAGGTAGTCATAACCTGTTCATATTGACGACATGGTATCGATATCCGGAAACCGGGAACGCTTTATCACCACCTTGCAAAATGGGAGCTTATCAAGTTATCTTACCTTTTCGTACGGTGCGCTGACTAATCGATCGTTCTGATACGCACGGCGAACATAACACCGCTCATCTTTTTCTTCCATAAATGCCTGTAATCTCGTGACGACCGCGCAATTGTGCAATTTCCTCACCGAGAGTAGAGTTTTCGTCTTTTCGTACGTTTTGCTTCAAAGGAGTGATGATACAAATGCACTTAACGAAAAATTGAGGAGCGTAAACTGGCTATTTGGCGAAGATTGTAATGCAATCTTTCAATCTTATCATTGAAATGGTTCGCTCGGCCTCCAGAGAGACTTGGGAATATCACGATTTTGATCCGTATCCATTTTAGGTAAACTTGGATAAATTGTGAATTATTTATAAATTTTTTAAATATATCCCCTCTTTTTTGTTATTACGTTATTCTTTAATATTGAATAAATTACAATGTTAAATTAATGAGTTTTTTTCATTTAGTATTTTGTATTTTTTGTTTGTAGTTTGTATTTTTTTCATATCATTTACTTGCATTACAATACACGACTCTAGAAAATGATGTTTGAATATTTCAAATAAATAAAATTGTATATTTTAAAATATAATATTTTGCAATACAATTTTTATAAATTTTTAACTGATTGTAGAGAATTTAAAATGTTTTTTTTTTCTATAATATATATTTTTGTTCTTATACTATAAGCAAATAATTCTGGAGTTATGTTTTTGTTATAGTATATAAATATATATTGTCTATAAATCTTTTATTATTTATAAATTATTTTATTATGTTAGAACAAATAATATTAATTTCCTTATGCTTAATTTGCTTCTGATTTTCTTTTACTGATTGTATTTATTCTTTTATAGGCAACAAAGAACTTTATCAATATTTATTAAAGGAACATATGTGATATATATAAAAGTATGACGTAGACTTGCTAGCTCTAAGAAAATGACAAAAGAGATATATTCTGTAAATACTGTGGCAAATACACTTTGCCGCAGAAAATCTACACATTACATGAAGATCCCATTGAAGTCGACTGAACAGATATATTTAATATTCCTCATACCAACTTTAATCAATTGTTTCATATTCATTATTCATTTTGCTGCTGACTTGGTGGTAGCTATTCAACACTTCAAAGAGGATAATCCACTATGGGGGATGTTCACTGTTACAATTATCTATTTACCAGCACTCATGTACTTTATACTGACAGTTTCGAGGCCTGATTGGTGGATGACAGAAGATGATAAAATATCGAAAGGAGTTATCGGCTGGTTCGTCCTTCAAATGTGTCAGTTCATAGGATTCGTGTTCTTCGTATTATATAGGTATTATATTCACAATATATAGATATTTATTATATTTTCCGTAATTATTTGCTTCAATTAAAAACTACTTAATTTACTTCATGTAGAGTTTAAATAGTAACAAACGGTCATGTGTACACAATTCACACATTTTACAGATTTGCTGGACTTATTGTGCTGTCCGTGGATGCTATAAATTTATCCGGAGATGAGAGGCTCAAGACATTAAATGTCGCTGCAGCACCTGCGGCCATCGAGTTGTACTTTTTTCTGCAGGCGTGGTTTCAAGCTGCTCCGCAGGCAGTATTTCAGACGCATCTTCTCTTTAGACAAAGCTCTGTGCCCCGCAGTTATCAATCAAGTAAAATAGAAAATTATTCTTTTTGTATACAATGTCATACGTATTTCTTTTTTATATTTGAGCGATGTATTTTTATAATATATGTATGTATTATGCTGTAATATAATTTATTACTTTAGACAATAATCACACATATTATTTTGCAGTGTCGGTACAAGTGCTCTGCATTATTATGTCCATTGTAGTAGTGGCTATCAAGACAGCTTCTTTTCAAAGATTTGAAAGCCAGCGTGTAAATGGCAGGAAACTACCCTGGGCAATGTGGTTGAAGAAATATTGCATTCAGGTATCTGATCTAATTTAACAATTACTATAAAAATAATATTCCATACACACGAGTAATTTCATAATCGTATGATTGTACAAATTATACGTTTATTTGATATTACTTTGAAAAATATGTATCTTTGCATATGTAATAAGTATAATCAATGCCAACCAGGAAATTAATAATATCGAGGAAAAGGTGCCACTACAAACGTTACCTTTACCTACAAAGCAGCCAGAAGACACTGTAAACGCTCCAGCCAAATCAACGGCACCGGAAGAAAACGCGGCGACCGAGAATGAACAGGAGCACCAAACCCAAACGCATGCAGCTTTGCTGAACCGTCAGGTCTCCATGACTCCACCGTTACCACCGAAAAATGTACACGTAACACCGCCACCGACGCCGCTTCGCGGCATAACAACGGTAGCACCGCTCCCAGTGCCGGACATACCGGCACCACCACGTCCAGATTCCGTTTACATGGAGGAAGAGACGAAAGCAGCGATGTCGGATCAAAGACTGACAAGCGACAGCGCGTCGAGCTTGAAAGTTCCTAAACGAAAGTATTCTAAGAAGGGTCTCGAAGAGGACGACCCAATGGGAAAGTTCTTGTCCTTCCTCTGGTGGTTCTTCTTCATCCTGGCACGCGTGTTTGCCATTGCTGTGGCCTACGAATTCTATCCGTTGACCGTGGTGACGATGATATGCGTGCACTACGCTATCATGTTGGCCTATCTGTTCTACTACTCTAAGTATTACGACGTCATCACGCTCGTCGTCAATCTCTGGCTCGGCCTGGTCTATATATTCAGTCTGATCGAATACCGGATCAAATTCAAATATGCCGACTGGTGTACGTTGCCGTATTATGTGTTCGTGATCGCGCAGAACGTGGCATTTACACTCGCGTGGTACTTGAACGCCGACTGGAATGGATTCTGGTACACATACATATTCTGGGCGATCATTGGCAGCATGGTGCTCTGTGTCCTTTCGTCCGCGGTATACCACGTGATGTTCAAGCCCAAGAAACGCAGAGTTTATAGCAGCTGACGATCGTTGGAGGCACTGTCCTTCGAATAAATCTTCTGAGAATCGTATATCCGCTTTTACTTTCGTAACGAGGTGTGTAAATAAACTGTAGATACACATTAAATAGATTAATTGAAATTTTCAGAAGAGACAGAAATCTAGGCATTTATTAGCGACTTTCTATACTTTATTTATACCTTATAGATATTTTTTCGATTTTCGATAAAATTTTAGACCTCTCGGTGTTCAGACATTTCGAAAATGTTTTATACAAAAGTATATTAAATTATATATCATTTATTAAACTTATACAGAGTGTTTCTTAAATACCGCCCACTAACCATATAGCGTTATTCCTGATAAAAAATTGAGTCGATAAGTGTTAGGAAAATTTTTTTCTATAGTGCTTACCGAAGCAGTTATTATCGAGTAAAGATAATCTGAATAACGCTATATGGTTTATGGGCGTTATTTAAGAAATACCCGTATGTATATAGCTATTGCTATATATTGCAATTGACTGTCTTATGCTAATCATAAAATATAACATGATTGGTATAGAAAAAGATTTTTAGACGTAATCATTATTAGATTGGTGCAAAAACTTCTTGTATATACTTGCCAAATAGACTTACTGTTAGACACGCTATTGTGTACAGAGAATTCGAATTTCGATTTATTAATCTTAAGAGAAGGCAAGAGGATCTATTTTTCAAATAATTACAGCTTTTCCTTGAGTAAAATTCATTATAATTCATTGTATATCTTGTCTCAAAATATGACACTGTCTCAACGCCACTACACAGAACAAAATATATAAGATATCTAGTGGATATCCACGTATTTATGTTTATATCGGCGGATATTTAATAGATATCTATGATATATAAAATATTTATAACTGTCGAGTAACCAGTGTGGATATTTACTGGATGTTGACGCGTTATCCACATATTTATGTCCACGAAGTAAGTATCAAACTAGATAATCTAAGCTATATATAATAAGTGTGATTTAGTTTTGAAGATTTCGCAAGAGATGAAAATATTTTGATTCAGGTATTTGTTCATTATCTTGTTTAAATGAATCAGTTTTTGAGAAACCTTCAAAACTAAATTACACACTTAATATATATTATATATGTATATATACATCCATATATGTACATACACATATACAAGGGATATCTATGTAGTAAATATCCATCGAATATAACGTAGATGTCTAGTGGACATTAGCATAAGTCGTAATCACACTAGCGATTGCGCGATTGTATAATAATTGGCGATTGAAGATTACTTTTCAACCAGTTAGAGCAAAACAATCGGTGACTGCTTTGCTCTGATTGATTGAAAAGTAATCGTCAATCACAATCGCGCAATCGCTAGTGTAATGCTTAATGCCCGTATTACACTAGCGATTGGATATTACGTTTGCGTTCGCGATTGCACCAATCAGACGAGACCTGCTAGCCAGTATAAACTTCTTTTTGATTAATTAAAAGACGCAAACGCAATCTCCAATTGCTAGTGTGATACGGACATTAGATATCCTATTTATGAGTCACGGACATCTGCATATGTAGAGTATGTTTAACGACTATTTATTAGATATTTATTAGACTGTTTATTCATGAAAGTTTAATACCAATTGAGGATATCGAATGAATATCTTTGATTGGTATTATGTTTTGTGTGGAATGGCTTCTGGTTTTGATTAATTAAAGGTCAATTAAAATAATCATTTTAAAATAAAACGAATATAATCATTTTACACTTTTCTCACCTAAAAAAATTCTTTGGTGCTTTTGGTCAACAAATGTATAATTTTATTTAAAAAAATATGTTTAAAAAACTAATGATTTCTTGTACCAATCTAATATTTTAGGCAGCATGTTTCATTTGATAATTTTACATTACGCGGAAATATTTACACTATTGTACATTTACATATGTAGTTATAGTCAAAGTGTTAATTTAGTAAATGTATACATTTACTAGTTAATGTATGTATATATTATTTTGATAAGTAAATGTTTTTACTTATAAAATGAATTTTACTAGCAAAAATCATTGTACTTTTATATATAATTTAGTAAAAATCTGCAGAATTTAATACATTAATTTAAATTGAATGCTTTTGCTAGAGCAATTTATATATGTATAATTCATAGTAACCACAGCATGTGGTGAGCACATTGATAGACATTTTTACATTTAGTTGATACTTTTGCTAAAATCTTTCGTAATAATATATGCATACAAATGTATATATTTACTAAATTTTACACTTATATATAAAAAAAAAAGCTAGACTTTCAATACGATTATACGTATCGCTTTGAAATCATCGAAGTTAAACTTCGTCTTCATCTAAAAATTCAAATATAATTTTCTCGGAATGATTATATAGAAGATTAAAAAGCTGCGTCTAGACTATCGAACCGAAACGCGAGCCGAATTTCAAGCCGAGCCAAGCCGAGTCGCGAGCCTCGAGCCGAGCCGCAAGCCGAGCCTCGAGCTGATGAACCGAAATTATCGAAAAAAAAAAAAGAAATACGGATCGCTTGCGACGCTTGAGAAATTTGGTTAAAGCTCGACTTGATTTCGACTCCGAAGTTCAGTTCGATAATTTTGGTTCGAAACTCATCAGCTCGAGGCACGGCTCGGCTCGGGGCTCGGCTTGGCTCGAGGCTCGGCTCGCGGCTGGGGAGTCGTGTGGCTCCGCACGTTAGGCATCGGACTCGTGATCTGAGGATCCGGGTTCGAATCCGCCTGCTCCCCACATATTTTCAATTCAATTTGGTATAATGAACTCGTCCGCTTAAGGATTACTTGGTAGAGTAACTTCGTTTGCTTGATTAAGAGCATGTAAGATTACTCGCTTGAACATAGAATCTACTCTTTGAAATTTCGTTCTGGCCGTATAATTTCCCAGTTCCTGGGATTCAGTGCCATTAAATAAGTGAATTGAATTGAATTCGGCTCGCGGCTCGGCTCGAGGTTCGGCTCGCGTTTCGGCTCGATAGTCTAGACGCACCTAAAGATATCACAAAGTATAAAATATATGTCTTTCAATAACACTAATATTATTGACGAAAATCCATTCATCTACAATCTTTACGCGCAATCTTTATGCACACACACATACCAACATGCGCGTTATATAATTAATCAGATAACTATATTAATCGCATCACGTTGCTTTTCAAATCGGGTTCGTTCTTTCGCGATGTTTACTAGAAGATATCGACTTAACACAGGTCATTATACATTTTATTCTCACACGTGAATACTCGAATCTCTGTGAAGATTACCGAGTTGAGCCTCAAATAAAATGTCGTTCAACAATTTTTCAGCTATTATTCTTTGGTCCAGTCTCATATTCCTGAGCTTGGCGGCAACATTGCGACCGATTGCATCGTACTCGTCCTCCATTATGAATGAATTATTATGCGATATTCTTAGGGATGGATCCGCCGATTCTGACTCGTCGGAACCCCGGATCAACGATGTGTCGTTCCAATCCGCATGTTGTTCGTAAGACTCGTTCTTTTCGGCCATACATTCCTCCTGCTTGTGAATATATTAAATTAATTACAATGTAACACAAAGACAAAAAACTCTGATATCAAAATCAAGATAGATAAAAGAAAATTCCAAGCACAATTAATTTAAACGATAAAGAAATGTAAATATATACTATATATATTTAAAATAAATCTTCAATTGTTTTCATCTATCGCATATTTATATGTTCAGATATTTTTCTACCTAAAATTAATTTTTAAATAATTATTAATTCTTTTTTCTAATATAGTAACTTATTATTTTTTAAATCTTTTTAGGATGACAAAATCGAGTTGAATTACAAATGGCAAAAATAAAGTGCTTACCGTTTTACATCGCTTCTTATTTTGTATTGCTACACGCTTTCCTGGTACAATTTCGGAACATTTATCAGGTAATACCGAGTTGACATATATTGCGGGTTTCCTCTGACTAGATTTGCACCTTATTTTGCACATCAAAGTTGGATGCAATCGCTGCAAAAATAACAAGGCTAACAAAAATAATCAAAATTCCTCTACCTAACAATAAATCATAATCTATAATGGTAAAAGAAGACCCAATGAGAGACTTTAAGGCACAGTCACTGGCATACATAATTAACTCTCCGTCGGCAATATTGAATTTTATTCTTTTATTATGAATTATGGTAAATTTAAATTTGTAAAATATAAGTAAAATACGATTAATTTCTTTGATAGTAAAAACTTGTTTTAAGAACTTTTATATGGTCCAAATTATATAAAAAATCTGCACTGAAGTTCGAAACTCCAGATAGGCTGAAAGGTGAAAGTATCACATTACCAACGAAGGGTTAATTGCACAATTGTAAGTATTACTAAAAATACCAAAATATTAAATAGAATTGTACAAGGAAACTATCATAACTATTCGAAACCGATTCGATTGTTCTTGAAATATATTATTAAGAACAAAAATCTAAGAAACACATATTTTTTAGATGTCTCCAATCTTAAATTTAATGGATGAAACAATCTCTTGAAAGTTAACACTTATATTCAATTATCAGCGAAACGGTGAGATGTACAAAAAAATGTTTTAGATAAAATATTTATAATTTTTTATATACTTGATAATTATGTATTTAAATTTTGAAAAATCTAAATTAAAAATACCACCATCTCCATTAAGCTTCAAGAGATTGTTTCACTTCTTAAATATTTGAGTAACAACCCTTTGTAAAAGCAAGAAATAAAAGACCAATAACCAGTGCTTAAGCTTTCACTGACTCTTTATCTTTATGATTTTATATACATCAAAAGAAACTTCTTTTCTATCCTGTCAATCTGCATAGACAATTCTATCAAAGTGTCTAATAATTTTGTTTACCTTTACATGACTAAGAAAATTCCCGGTGGACTTCAGATTGCCGTTGAGCAATTTCATACACTGCTGACAACGTACCGTAACGTTAGTGTCTTCTACTCTGATCACCTGGAAGTACTCTCCATCCAATAAAGCTGGCAATCGAACCGTAGTTTTCTCTTGAATATTCGACTCAATTTGCGTCACTTGATGTATCTGCTCCGTATGTTGCTGTTGCAACGTCAATGTGTCGTGATTCTCTCTACTCCGTACTTCTATCTCTTCCTTGGGCGTCTGATTGTTCACGGTTTGAACAATATCACACTGATAATTCGCTGCAGTAACCATAGACTCGTCATATGTCTCAAACGTTTCCATTTTGTTCTTGTAGTCCTGTGAGAAACTTTCTATAGTGGATTAGGTACTCAAGTTTCTGCTCTGCAAGGTGAACGATGTATGTAAACAAAGATTCCACTGTGCCTGAATCTTGTACAGCCAAAATAAGCTGGAAAAGCATAAAGTCTTACTGTGAACTCGATGCAACTTAAACGTCGCGGTGATATTATTTATCCTTTGAGTCTTATTGAATTTTAGATAAGCTGGCCAGATAAGAACGTCGCACAAGGCGAATCTAGATCAGATAATAGATGAGAGCGTGTGTGTTAGAAGATTAAGTACTGCGTAGATACCAACCTCGTTGATCAAGGTTGTACCCGGCTACGTCCAAGCATCGCTAAGGATGGGATGTCCAAGTGAGAAACGGTAGACGCTCCATACGTGTTCGTCTTGTCTATAAACACGTAAGCAAACAATAATTGCTTCCGATAATTTTTTAATCTTTCCTGCTGTCCATGTGTGGTGGCTACACTGAAGTAAACAAAGCATTTCTTCAAGTCTCGGTCTCATTCAATGTCATTATTACATATCTGTTTATAATATATATAATAAGTGAATGGACTTAATGTACAGTTGTAAACAAAATTGTCGTACCATTTTTTGATATTTCAATGATAGATTCGTAGATATCCAATGTTCCAATCGACGCATATACCAGTGAAATAATCCTGCTCCGAAATATCCGTTGATACTTCATTCATGTTCTCAAAAGTAAAAATTACACAGGTCATTATTAATTGAGTTAATTAAACAAAGATCTCACTCAATTAATTTATGTGCAGTTCAATAACTCACAACGAAGTAACGGAAAACTGGAAAATTGCCGTATTCTTTTTTAACCTACATGCTGCTATCACCAGTAAATCAACATGGAAATCGGAGTTGGCGATACTGAAGAATGAAGATATCGGCTTGTTTCTGACTGGATGGTTGGATCCAATACATACAGAACTCGACAGGGACGTATGTATACAGGGTGTCCCAGAATATTTCGTAAACTGGTAGAGAGAACTAAACTGAGTCGAAAAGTCCTACTATTTTGAGTCTATCAATTTTTTACAACAATTAACAAGTTGTGTTAATTATTATATATCACCGAATATATTGACTTTTAATAATTTTTTACTAAAGTACTATCAACTTTACAAGAAAACAGCAAGTGACAAAAATTGTTTATTTTCTTCTCATAGAATTTTGAGGATTTTTTCAGAATTTGTTTATGTTGATAAAAATAGTTGCAATATTTATTATTTTTTTAAATCCTGCCTTGCAACTTAGCTGCTAAAATGGCTTCTGGTCTACATTGTGTTCTTAAATAGTTGTCAATAAGAAAATGCAGTACTAAAAAGTTCATAAAAATTCTGAAAAAATTCTTACCTAGTAAGAAATGAAAATGGAATCGACATCAAATTGATTCAAAATCATCAAATCGACGTCGAATTGATATCGATTCGATGTTGATTCCATTGTCATTTCTCATTGAGTAAAGCTTTACGAGAAGAAAATAAACAATTTTGGTCTCTGTTGTTTTTTTCTGTAAAGTTTATAGTATATTTTTGAGTCAAAAATTATTGAAAACCAATATTCGGCTTTTTAATAATTAATATATACCACAGTATAACCATACCCAGTAGCGACACTAATCGGTTTGACCTTGACCAAATTTCAGTACGCATGCGTGAATTTGTACATTTAACAATATGGATGCGTCCAGAGGGTTTATTCTTGAAAAGAAACGTATACGAAAATTTAGGAAAATACTACATTATACGTTACGTATACTATAGTATTGTCTTAGTCTTTCGTATACGTTTCTTTTCAAGAATGGAGCCCCAGAGTACACGTATTACAGGTAACCTCAATTTACAGTTTCATGACGGGGTGCTTTCCAGCAAGGACGGAATCAGACACTGTGTAACACAGAGAATCGTTTCATCCTTGTTTAACATAGGCAAACACATAATTTATTAATTTATATAATTTAATTATATGATTTTGTTACCAAACACCGTTAATGGATTCTTTATCATGCAGTAAAAAGATCTTTCTACTTATAATAGTTATATATCAATATACAATATATATTAATAATTAATGTATTCAGTCACGAAATTCGCTCATTCAATTTAAACTTGAAAAAATCAACTTTATTACAGCAATTTACGACAATTAAATAAATAGTGTTCTCTTACATGTACGATCCCAATGGATCCATGAGATTTAATATTGTTTAAATAAATTGTGTTGTTTTATTAATACTAACTAGAGGCTTTTTTTAAAACATTTCTAGCTTTTCTTTTTATGGATTTGAGTATTGATCATGTAACTTTTTCTTTAGGACAGAAATGTGAAAAGTAAAATTTTTTTGTATTTATGTGTGTATATGTTCATACATACATTCATAAAAGTTTTCACTTTTCACGTTTTCGCTCTAGAGAAAAAGTACATGATTGATACCCTGACGATACCTTACATTTCTAAGATGAATACGTTACTGGGCGTCACCTGATGCTCGCGCTGCAGCGCATGCGTGAAAAATCTCCGTTGGCGTCACTGCGACGTCTTCGACGCTTTTCGTGGCGTATTTTGCGGCATTTGCGGCCAACGTCGGTATGAGGTGAAATTCGCTCGTGTTCCCGAATGCGTTGTGTACAGTGATGAACCAGTAACAGTCCTCACGTTCCGAATAGTCTGAACGACTTCCCACACTGTAAAGTCGTAACTCACATCCTTTTATTCACAATTCGTATCGCCGCGCCGACGATATGTCGGTACTTGCCGCGGACGATAAAACGGAGTACGAGGAAAAGGAGCAGCACACAAGGTATTTCTCGTCCTCGCGCTTCATCACGATATAGCGCTAAATATAGCAGTAGTAGATTTTCTTTTCATTCGAATTAAATATTTCTGAATACTTATGAAAAATATTTAATTTAATCGGTTCTCAATATTTTCTTTGTCTTTGTATAGAAGTAAAATGCATTATTCTGATTTTGTAAAGTCATTGGCGAATGTCTATAGTCTTAAACTATAGTTTTATTTATAGCCTTAAACTTTCACTTTAGAATTTTATGAAAGTACCAATTAATCATTTTTATCATACAATGTGTAGTCATTTTCACTTTTCTATAATATTTTGGATGTATAATATAAAGTTAAAAGAACAAATTTATAACTTCCAGCGAGACAGAAACATCCTCTGTCACTTCAGCAAAGTCAGAGATAAGTAAGGACACGAATGCAGAAAGTTCTCAAAGTAGGAAACACAAGCGATCACCAGATCATGAACGGCCGTCCAAAGTAGTAAAGCACGATGCTGAAGAAGATACCTCATCTACTGTATATGTCTTAATTATATATTACTACCTTGAATTTCAAAAACAATATTTATTTAATCATATATTCAAAACGTCTCAAATCTGGCCATAGTCTTAAAATTCCAGAGCCGACGTTAAAATCTATTAACACAATTTTACTGACATTGTGAGACTTATTTAATATATGTTTAAAAGGCACTAATTTCAAGGAATATAACTTGTAAAAATGAACGAATATAAAGTTTACTTCACAGAAAAATATTCCGTTGTAAAGAAAAATGATTACTCAATTAATTTTTTTTAATGACAGTTATTTTTAATAAAAAATCTTTTGATAATAATTTTAAAATATAATAATACTTTAACAAATTTTAGAAGAATTCCTTATTATGTGCTTAAAACATCTTAAAATGATCTTAAATATAAAATTGAACTATGAATACTATTAATGAATGCTAATATATTTTCTATTACAGAGTACAAACGTTCCTTCAGATTTAACGACATCTGGAAGCAATGAAAAAAATAAGGATGTGACTGATGCAAACAGGGTCCTTGACAATACAGTTTTGGTAGCCAACCATTACAATGCGCTTGAGGAAAAGGGCCTCTCGCAAAGAAATCAAAGTCGCATCGTGTATATGAGGAATTTTAACAACTGGATTAAAAGCATGCTTATAAGTAATTATTAATTTGTTTGACATTGTTGTGCGGCTGCCTTTTTCAGTTTACAGTCAATTTCAACAGAGTACAGACGTGTCATTATCTCATTTTAATTTTCTTGTTTTAATGTCTTCGTTAATTATGATAATATGTATTCTGATAAATGCAACAGCCTTGATACAAAAATTGTGTGTAGATGAGTCCATCATTTAAGATTTATTACCGATCGATCACAGTCGTTTTAATAAATTTCTTTCTTTAAGAATGGATTCTTCTGTTATTAACAATGCTTCTTATTACTGCACTAATTGTACTTCTGAAGAAGACTCAATTCAGGAGTCGAAACTAGTTAAGTTATGTATTTGAAGATCTACGATTTTGCGATAATGTAAAGTTATTTTTTTAATTCTTTTTTTATATGCTATGTTTTTTGCGTTTTTTGACAATTTAATATTTATTTTATGTTTTTGACTACTTCATTTAAAGATTAAATTTTTTAATTCTTGACTCTTAATTTGTCTTTTTAATTTACTATTTGTTTTAAACTAAGAGTCCTTTACATCATTTATTATTGTAATTATTAATTTTTGCTGCTATCTAAATGGTATCATAATATAATAGTGAGAAAAGAACAATAAGAATCTATATCTAATTGCCTACTTTCATAATTCCAATTCTTTTTTATCATTGATTCGTACTAATTAGCAGTATTACAATCTAAACTTTTAAATTTATTGTATTTTTATTTTTGAAAAACTTAGTATTATAATACGTTACCAAGTTATTTTGGATTTATATTTATAATAAATAGCCTTGTTTAATGGAGCAGAATTAGAATAATAATAATAATAATATATTATAAGCTTCTAATTTCTTGTAATATACATGAGGTAACGGAATCACATCGGGAATTGAATCAGAATTTTTTTTTTGTGACAGACGATTGCTTTACGATTAAGCTATCCATTATAACATATATAAAGTATACCTCAAAATTAATTATATTAAAAAATATAAAGTTTAAAAGTAAAAAATAAATTTAATTTGAGAAAAATTGAACTTAAAACTGGCTCATTATTGGTCTTGTTATTGTGATTTTATATTAATTTTTTAATTGTATTTTTGAATGATCAGTTATTCTGTAATCAATAAATTTATCCTTATATTATTTATCAGATGAATACGTAGTCAAAGTAAGACAAGGCAAAAGTTTCGGTACTTCGCTTAAAGTTTTGGATATGTGCTGTGGCAAAGGCGGAGACCTTTTCAAGTGGAAAAAGGCTAATATTTCACATTTGATCTGCGCGGATATAGCGCAAGTGTCGCTGGAACAGTGTCAACAACGGTACAATGACATGGTGAATAAAAAAGGTTCCAAAGATAGAGGTTTCGCTCCCATTTTCAGCGCAGAGTTCATAACAGCTGATTGTACAAAGGTGGAGGACCTATCTTATTTCTAAATACTATACAAGAATTCCATCTACAAGAAACGCACTTGTCAATGGAATTTTGTTAATCAGGAATGTTGCAGGTTCGTTTGAGAGAGAAGTTCACGGATCCTAGCATGCAGCTGGATTTTGTTAGCTGCCAGTTCGCTTTCCATTACAGCTTTGAATCTCTGCCACAGGCGGAATGTATGATTCGGAACGCCAGTGAGAGTCTCAAGCCCGGTGGCTATTTCATCGGAACCATTCCAGACGCTTATGATTTAGTGTGCGTCTCTCTCTCTCTCCCTTCTGCTTTCATATTTCTCTCTAATAGATAGATGCATGCACGCTCATCTTCTTTTTACAATGCAGTTCTAGGTGGCAAAATTGCGACGATCATAAATTCGGCAACGACGTGTACTATGTTGAATTTTTAAGCGAGGACAAATCTAAACCACCGTTCTTCGGCGCAAAGTACAATTTTCATCTGGATGGTGTGGTCGATTGCCCGGAATTCCTGGTGCATTTGCCCACTTTGTGCAAGTTGGCTCTGAAATATGGTCTTGAATTAGTAGCATTTGAAAGGTAAAAGAAAAAGTACATGGACTTAAATCTACCATTAATCATTATTTTAGCAAATAATTATTATAAAAAGTTATTACATGTATGCTAATTATGTATGCTAATCGATATTCGCAGGTCTAGTTGACATTTTCTTCAATTGTAATATGAAAAATTATTTATTACGAGTATTTTTCATAATTTTACATAATTTTAAGTTATATCTTCTTGGATTTTAACCTTTAAAATGACAAAATAAGTAAAAATAAATTGTTAACTTTAAGCAAAGATACATTAATTAAAATATACTGGATTTATGAGTATCAGAAAGAAATATTATTTTTTCTGATTAAAATTATTATCTTGGAAAAATTTTTTATATATTCAGGTTCGAAGATTTCTACGAACGTTTCAAAAACGAGGGTAGATCTCTTTTAGGAAATATGCAGGCACTAGAAACTTATCCGCCGTATCACGAAGCACCTTTACTCGGCGACCAAGAACGAGACTATCATCATGCTGTTGAATACATGCAAAATTTGCCGGCGAATCATCGTAAAATTGGCACTCTCTCGCAATCGGAATGGGAAGTCACTTGTAAGTATAATAATTCTAATTAAGGATAAGGAAAATTAGAAAATATGAAAAGAAGTAAAAATTTTCTCTGAACGAATTCAATTAAATAAATGAATCTTTTTATAGCATTGTATGCAGTATTTTCGTTTCGAAAAATGAAAACGATTTGGAATAGCGAAGGAAAGCCAGAGTATATCAAGTCGTAAAGTTTCGTAAGATAAAGAAAAACATAAAAACTGAATCAAGGAACGATTTACTGGTGTTGATGATTTTATATTGTACAATTTTATTTGTTACTGTAATGTAACTTTTACGGTAGGACGATATCATCCGTGTGAAACCAATAGAACTGCGTTTATAGAGCTGACAATCATGTAAAAATATTATTAAGAGTACTAAAAGAGTTTAACCCTTCAATGCCATTTCTCGGTATGGCCTATCAAATTTTTTTTCAAAAAATATCTTTTGAAACTTCTGTTTATTGCTCTCTTTTATTAATTAAGATATACTTACTTGATACCTCTTGATACTTGCTTGTATTTCTTAATACTTGACGTTATTGTTGAAAAAAATCTGTTACAATATGTTTATAATTTTATAAAAGTTATAAGCAATTAAAGTCGGATTGAATGTTGACAACATCACAGGTATAATAAAACATATAACATTGAAGGGTTAATCATTGGAAAACAGAATAATCTTTTTTTTTTATCGTTAATGAAATTCTATTCTTTCAAATCGTTAAAAAATTTTTTAGTATAACACGTATGATTTAGATCTCAGGAAATATAAGATCCTGATTATAACGTAATGTTAATTTCCTAATCGAGTGGATTATAGATAATCAGCTCGCAACACGGAAAATGAATCATGTATTTTAAAAAGTTAAGAATTATATATATATATATATATATATAATTAAAAATTATATAATTCTTAATTATACACTGTATATGCTTAAGAATTTTGGAATATAATTATAATATCATAATTATTTATTTAATATATAATTATAATATTATAATTGTATACATTTACAATATATTTAAAAATAAAATCATGTACAATTATTGCTATAAATTATTATCATGCAAGAAAAAGAATGACATATTATTTTTTAAAACGTATATATAAATATTCTTTTAGTTTATTTTTTATTTTTCAAAAATAATGATGCGAAAAACCACTCTTTCGAATATATAAACAAAAAAAAATCAACAGTTTTTCGCGTCGATGCTTCGGAAAATAATGAACTGCAATTGACAATAATCGAACGCCTAATGGAATTAAGATGCCATTTCATACTAACGCTCAACGCTCATTTTTAGCGTTAAAATAGATCACGTGATCTATTTTGACACTTAAGAATGAGCGTCGAGCGTCAGCATGAAAAGGCACCTTTATACATATAATTTTATTATGTAAATCGAACGTATAATTTAATACAACTTCGCAAAATTCGATCCGACGTGAAGTTGAACCAAACGAAAGAGTTGGTTGACAAGGAATATCTTGTATAAACTTATTCTTTTAAAATTAACAAAATTATAAAAGTACGGAATATTTTAAAATTATCGCGTTTCTTGCACGCCATAAGCTTACGTTACGATTAAGAACAATTTCTCCATTTAACTTCGACGATATTATATCTCAGAAATTCCTGGCGATTAACTCTTTTTGCGAGAGGATTTTAAAATTCCCGGAAGAGTTATTTTTCGCGAGAAGATCTTCCCCGCTATAGGAAAAAAGGAAAAAAGAGAATCAGTTAATTGAGAAATGAATCGATCAACGATCGTTATATTCTGATTGAATCTCGCTTTGGAGAATATTTTATCGTGCTTTTTATGGCTGCAAAATAAAATTCCAGGGTTGTGTGTAAAAAATAATCTACATCTTTACGCGTGTATACAATGTAAACTATGTTTTACGTATTATCTGTGTAAATCTACAGAACATTGGATACGTTCAGCAGAACGCAACAGTTTTGCAATCATTTTACGATTGTTGAGATAGGACTATTTCTCTAAATCTAAAAGTATAATTCAATGAGCACAAAGAAAATTGCCAATAATTGCGAAATAAACTGTGTGTGCTGAACGCAGCCATTAAAACTTATGTTCTTTAGCGTTGCACTGGATTAAAATTTTTATTCTATTTGTATATTTTTATTCATCAGTACTGAAGTTATATAGTAACAATTATAAAATTTAATTCTTTTTGTACTGTTATTTAATATAATAATTTATATATTTTACATTGCTTGTATCATTTATAGGAAAAGAACTTAGACTATGTAAACTAAATTTTAGTCATCTATGTAATCTGTGTAAACAATTTATAATTTATCGAAGTTTATGTTCTTTATTGTTGCACTAGATGATAGTAAATTAAGCTTCCATTTCTCCTTCTCATTTATATATATATATATATATAAATTTATTTATTAAAATACTAAAGTCAGACATATTAGCAATTATAAAATTTAATTGGTTCTTGCTGTACTGTGTTATCCAAATGATAATTTATAATAATTTACATTGCATGTATTCTCTAATGAAAAAGATGTAAAAACTATGTTTTACTTATCATTTATGTAAACAATTTATAAATCATTAAAGCTTTATCATTGTATTAGATTGCACTAAAGTTTTCATCTCGCTTATACATTTTTATTTATCATATTTTTTTATGATATATTAATCATAAAATTCAATTCTTTCTGTTATACAATTTGTAGTAATTTACATACTTTACATTGTGTGTACTATCTACATGAAACAGATGTAAATTATGTAAACTAAGCAATATCATTTATATAAATGTAAATCTATAAATCATCAAAGCGCTTTGTCCTTCATTATTGCAGTAGATTGTATAACAGCTGCACTAAGCTTCTATCTCTCTTAAATATTTTTATTTATCAATATTAAAGTCAGGTATATTAACAATCATAAAATTATAAGTTCTATCTGTTACCAATTTATAATAATTTACATATTTTACATTGCTTGTACTGTCTACGTAAAACAGATGCGTGTAAACCTAACGTAAACAATACGTTAAAGTTGCATGTAAACATAATCTTGAATATACGACACAACCCTGCAAAATCGTCTTCACGCATCGAGTATTGAACTCTCCTGCGGAATCGTACCGGTTTCAATCGACCTCGCGCTGCGGTGAATGACACCCTCGGCTCGGCTCGGGGCGCATCGGATCGGATCGGACTTGGCGATCGGAATCGTGTCTGGCCATCGCGCGTAGTACGAGGGTGGCGGGGCGAGCGGGCGCATGCGTGGTCGCGCGTTTCTGGCACTTAGACTGATTGCGCGGCGTCGCGACGCGCACACGGACTCAGAGAACAGTCGTTCGTCGGACGTGAGACGGGATGGGCGTTTTGCGGACGGCTTAGACAGAGTGTGCCGTCTCTCCTTCTTTCTCTCTCTTCTCTCTCTCTCTCTCTCTCTCTCTCTACTTGCCATCTTTCTCACGAATTCGCGAACACTCATCGGGAGCTCCACTGTGTGTGCGTGCGCGTACGTTCGCGCCCTAGCTATCCGCATTCGCGGCTTCTTGTTTCTCACTTCGTCGACGGCGCAACTGAACCACGGTAGTCCATCGTTGGCCGCGCTGTGTGTACAAGTTCCGTGTGCCCGAGAAAATGGAGCTCGAGCAGGCGGCGTCGCAGATGAACCTGGTAAGCAGCCGCGATCCTGCTGCGTCCACGTAGACGCGCGTTTTCACGATAATCGCCCACGGGAGTGCTCTCGCCTCTTGGCAGTCTCCGATCGTGCCCGACGCGAAATTTTTCTAAGTCCCAAAATGGCGTCTGCGACTAAGTCCTATCGTGGCGGACGGGCGAACCCCGAGGTGCGAGAGTACTCTCCCGTGGCCCCCGGCTTTCAACGTCGTCGACAAACGCGCGCGCCCGAGTTTGACCTTCCCGGTCGCGTTAAACGGTCGCGCTCATGTTTCAGGAGAAGAAGACCAAGGAGAACGGCGGCGGTGGCGACGGCGTCTCCGGGAATCATAGCGGTGAGTTCTTTTATTCGGATTTTGCACGCGCGAGAGATGAATGTTGAACAGAGAGGTAAACGTAAAGTGGGACCGAATAGTTGAATTAAAATTGACCGGAGGACTCGCGAGAATCCCGGGGAAAGAGGAAATCGAACACGTGTCTCATTCCGTTCACAGAAGAAGTGCCGAAAGGCGGGATACCTGCGGAAGTCGCCCTTCCCGTCGTACCTCCTTAATTATGAATTTTGTATCTTCTCAACGTTTTCCAGTAAAAACTCGGGAGTTCTTTGAAAAAGTTGATTTTGAGTCCTCTCGAGGATAAGATCATCGTGGATGGCGATGCTTTTAAAGAGAATAGTAAAAATTTCGAAAACAAGTGAATCATATGTGATAATGGCTTTAAGTTTAAAGAATTGCGCGAATTTTTTATTGTTAATTTTTTATGGAAAAAATTTAAGTTCATGTTTCTGGTAAAAAAATCTCATTAAACAAGTGCTTATTAACTCTAATTAATTTATTTTTATTAATTTTTTATTGTTTTTATTTTGTATTTGATTTTTAATTTTTTATATTTTGTTGGTTATGTATTGTTTTCAGCGATTGAAAGGATCTAATTTTAGAATTCTTAATAAATAATGATAATTATCTATCTATTTAATTTATCTGAGATCTACTGTTCCATCAATATCAGATTAACTGTAATTTTAGTTCAATTTTTTTACTTTCTATCTTGTAATTCTAAGAATTAAAACCGGAGCACAGACCTTTGCATAACTCACAATGCATACAGCATAAGAAAATCACCCAATCAGAATCCTCTATTTCATGGAAAGGAAGGAAATGGATTGTGATTGGTTCATTTTCTTATTAACTCATTTCTTATTAATCTCAGTTTAATTTACTCTTTATTCTTTTCTGATTTTAAGAATTAGAAAAAACAACAGTAAATTAAACCGAGATTTAAGTTAATTTACATTGAAACAGGTATAAACCAGATTTAAACAAAGTATCCTTGATACTTGTGATGTTGTTTTCAACTTTGAATAAAATTCAAAATTTATTTCTTATTTTGTTATTATTTTAGGTACTATTTAATTAATATTTACTATTAAATTATTATTATTGTATAATACTAAATTTTATATCTAAACTTCAATTAGACATTTTAATTTTCTAGATTATATCAATGGTATGTCCAATGGTTTTGATAAGAAAAGGGAGCATAAATCAGAACACAGAGACAAGAATAGAGAGCGATCTCACAAATCGGATCATAAGAACAAAGATCAGAGCAAAGACAAGGAGAGGAATCATAAAAGCGAACATAGGGATAAGGACAAGCATAAATACAGACATAGCTCCAGTTCTGTTAAGGACAAGGAGAAACATGTTAGTAGCAATAGTAAAGACAAAGACAAGGATAGAAAGAGTTCGTTGTCTAGTAAGGACAAGGAGCATAAGAGTAGCAGCTCGTCCAGCAAAGATAAGGAGAGGGACAAAACTAAGGACAAGGAACATCATCACAAATCAAGTTCGAGTTCCAAAGATAAAGATAGGTAAAATAAAAAAATATCCCTTAAAATATTAATTAATAATGTTTGACGATGATATTTATTTTGTAACAACATAATTTTTTTAGACATCACAGCAGTTGTAAAGACAAGGATAGCTTGAGCAAGGATAAAGACAAGGACTCGAAGAGCAAGGATAAAGATAGGCATAGACACAGTAGTTCCTTGAACTCTAGTTCGCGCGATAAGGACCGCAGTATTTCGAAGGACAAGGATAGCAAAAAGCACTCGTTGGAAAAGGACAAGGACAGACATTCCACTTCTCACTCTTTGAGTGATAAAGAGAAGCATCGTTCTTCAGAAAAAGATAAGGACAAGCACAGAGAAAGTTCGTCCAGTAAAGATAAGCATCGTCATGATAAAGACAAAGATCGCCATCGTCATGATAAAGACAAATGTAAGCAGAAACATTTAAACTTATTTACGTAAACATTTATTTTCTATTTTTAATTTTTCGTGATCAATCGTAGCCAAACATCGCGAAGAAAAAGAAAAGAAGGAAATTAAGGAGGAAGTTAAAATAAAGGAAGAATCAAATGTGAAGGTAAATCACGCGAATGAAGGATATTATAATATCGAATTTAAATCGGAGTTGAAGGAGGTAAGATTTCGTTTGCGGTTAATGTTTTGGAGAGTAAATGTAAAACGAAATACTGACATATATTTCTTTCCTCAGGAACTCGTGACGCAACCAGAATTTGATGATGATGACGACAGCGGTGGTGAGCGACCGCTTTATATCAAGGAAGACGATGATGAAGAACCAATTAAGGAGAATGCTATGGATTCGACAGATGGAAACGATACCAGGCTGTCGGATCTTCACAATACAACCATAAAAACAGACAATGGCTCGGAAGAAGAGGATAAACCATTGGTAAATTTTGTTTTTTGCAATTGTGTTCTTTATTTTTGAAGATTATTTAGTTTAAGCCCTACCCAATTTAATATATTGATACAGTTTTCGAGATCTAAGGTATTGCCAAGTACGAAGAGAAAAATTGAGTCGGACGAAGATGAAGATGTTCCGCTATCAACGCGCAAAAAAACCAAGAAAGGTACTAACCAGAAAATCAAGAAGAAGAAACGAAAGCATGGGGATGATGATGATGATGATTACGATGCCGAGCCTGAAGAAACACCAGTATTTAATTTTTATTAACAATATTTTTTCCAAATTAATTTGAATGTTTCTTCGAATAGTAGGTTTCATATTGTGTTTGTTTTGTAGAAACCAAAGAAGAAGACTACAAAAGTGAGAGCAATAGGCGAAGTAAGCCCTAGAAAAAAGAAACAAGAGGAGGAACAACAGGAAGTTTGGAAATGGTATGGACACTCAAAATTTTCCGCTTAAATTATGTTAATGCATTTCCTTAATTTTTATTTTAGTTATTTTCTATTAACTTTATTCATGATGTAACTTACATTTTTCAGTTCTAATGCCCGTTTCTATCAGTGTATAACAGATTAATTTTAATCCTAGTTCAAATTAAGATTAAGTTTAATCCTACTTACTCTTCACCTTTTTTTAATTCTTAGAACTTGAAAAAGGTGAAAAGTCAAACCAAGATTAAAATTAAACTACATTGGTAGAAACGGACATGTGTGAGAATTATAGGAAAAAGATAGAGTAAATTGAACTGAGATTGAAGTTATTCTACATTTATAGAAATGGATATTAATGTGGAATTTCTGCTTCTATGTCATAGGTTATGTTCAGATTCCCACCCGAGTGCCATCCATGTATCCTTCTATCCTATTGTTTACCAAATGTTAAACAGGGATGTCATGACACCCAGGGAGCACTCGAGTGGGAATCTGAACACGCCTTTATAAGATCTGATTCTTAGGGATAAAAATATCATGATTTTAAGTCCCTAGGAAATACTTTCTCCTATTGGAGAACGTAATGTAAATCTTCCATGAGAATGCATTCAGTATATAATAGGAACGTTTGTCTCCCAAATATAAAAGTCTCTAAGAAATTGGATATACATTTGCGTGTTGCATCATAACCTGTATTTCCTTATGAATTATCTCTCGAATTTACATTTATTCTCAAGTAAAAGATGCAAATGACAGGTGGATATAATGCAAAATCTTGTAAAAAGCATAGTAATTCGTTTTTCAATGAGATATTTAGTCAATCTCGGAGGCAGCCACAATTACGTAGTTCATAAAATAAAGATGAATCCATCCATTTTGAGGTTATGTTTACAGTCACGTTTCGAATCCAGTATCGAAATTTGATTTTTTACTTTCATAATGCATGCTCCATCTTGAGACTTACACAATTTCTTCATGTACCATTTAACATAATTTAAAGATAAAAACTTGTTTTTATATTAACATAATTATAACATAATTAACATTGTTCTATAATTATTATAATTAATATTCAACATGATATAACATGAAATTTAGGTGGGAGGAAGAGAAGAAAAGCGATGGAACAAAATGGTATTTCTTGGAGCACAAAGGACCAGTATTTGCGCCACCCTATGAACCCTTACCCTCTACCGTTAAGTTTTACTATAACGGCAAGGAGATGAAGTTGAGCGAAGAGACAGAGGAAGTCGCAACCTTCTACGCACGCATGCTCGACCATGACTACACAACTAAGCCCATTTTCAACAGCAACTTTTTCCATGATTGGCGAGAGTTGATGACTGAATCCGAACGTGCCAAGATCACCGATCTATCCAAATGTAACTTTAAAGAGATGCATACGTACTTCTTGCAAAAGAGCGAGGAGCGCAAAGCCATGACAAAGGAAGAGAAGTTGAAAATCAAAGAGAAGAATGAGGAGATACAGAAAGAATATGGTTTTTGCAGTATTGACGGTCATAAGGAAAAGATTGGTAACTTCAAGATTGAACCACCCGGATTGTTTAGAGGCCGCGGCGAGCATCCTAAGATGGGCAAATTGAAGAAGCGAGTGCAGCCAGAGGATGTGCTCATCAACTGTTCGAAAGATTCAAATATGCCAAAACCACCGACCGGTCACAAGTGGAAGGAGGTGCGACACGATTCAAATGTCACATGGCTGGCTTCCTGGACAGAGAACATTCAGGGCCAGGTGAAGTATGTAATGCTGAATCCATCTAGCAAGCTCAAGGGCGAGAAAGATTGGCAGAAGTACGAGACTGCGCGAAAGCTGGCGCAGTCGATTGACAAAATTCGCGCGGAGTATCGAGACGATTGGAAAAGTAAGGAAATGCGCATCAGACAACGGGCTGTCGCTCTGTATTTTATTGACAGACTGGCACTCAGAGCCGGTAATGAGAAGGACGAGGATCAAGCGGACACTGTGGGTTGTTGCTCGTTACGAGTGGAGCATATCAAACTGCATGAACAGAAAGACGGCAAGGAATTCGTCGTCGTGTTTGATTTCTTAGGTAATAATTGAATTATTGCAATTTTTATATATAATTATATTTATAATTAATCTTTTGATGCCACACACTATGGAAATGATACATTTGAGTATGGTACGACTAACTTAATTTGATTGCTTATGACATTTATAAAAATAAATATATTGCGAAGAATTTTTTCCAATTAAAATGCTAGACATTGACATAAAAAGTTTTAAGCAATGGAAAAAACATTGGAAAAGCATTAAAAAGAGAAATCCGGGAATTCTCAGAGTGGCATCAAAGGATAATAAATGGTTGTTTTATTTCTTAATATTATAATACAATTTAATTATGTAATTTCTATGGAATTAATTAATCCCGCAGGTAAAGATTCCATTCGATATTACAACGAGGTGCCAGTGGAAAAGCGCGTTTTTAAAAATTTGCAGCTCTTCATGGAAAATAAATCACCTGGGGACGATCTGTTTGATCGTCTCAACACCACCGTGATGAATAAACATCTAAACGAGCTGATGGAAGGTCTAACCGCTAAAGTATTCAGAACTTATAATGCGTCGTGGACGCTACAGCAGCAGCTTGATAAGTTAACCGATCCTAACGAAACGGAGGCAGAAAAGATCCTCTCGTATAATCGAGCCAATCGCGCCGTTGCCATATTGTGTAACCATCAGCGCTCAGTACCGAAAACACATGCAAAATCCATGGAAAATCTAATGACAAAGATTGACACAAAGAAAGCATTGATATCCGAGTATGAGCAGTTGGTAAAGGACGCTAGACAAGGTGCAAAACAGGGCTTTGGGAAGGAAAAAATGTATATTATCCTTTATTTATATTTTACATGCATATAATAAATAATTAAACATAAGTTTGTAATAGATAATGAAACTTAGACTAATAATAACTTATTTATAAAGATATTTGATAATTTAAATTTAATTATTTGAATTTTGCATATTACATACATATAAAAACTTTATTAGTTTAAATGATATTTCATTTGAATATAAAGACTGTTTTATTCCTGATAAATTTAAATTCTTTGTCGAATTTGAAATGAAAATTACTTTTTTTTTTGACACAGTTAACCAAAAAAATTCACTTTGTACATAGCTCATGTTTATACCATGCAGCTTGCATACATAAATTCAGTGCTTTTAATATTTTTATAGAGTATTTGAAAAGAAGAAGAGACAATTACAAAGATTGAAGGATCAATTGACCAAGCTGGAAGTCCAGGCAACTGACCGAGAAGAGAATAAAGAAATTGCACTGAGTACCTCCAAATTGAATTATCTTGATCCTAGAATTTCTGTTGCATGGTAAGTACATTTAATATTTTTATCTAACTTTTTTATTTCTGAATTTTTATTATTTCACTTTCTTCAGTTTTTTATTTTGTGTGTATGTGTGTGTGTATTTGCAATATTTATTCTTGCATATTTTATTTACTATAGCTGATATTCTTTTTGCTAATATTGATATTATGATGTTATCTTAAATAATTCCTCCGTCATTTCTCAGAAAGATAAAAAATTCTGGATAGAAGTTGAACCAATCATGATTAATACTTGTTTCGCATATTATTTTCCTTCTTCACATGTCTATACGAACTTTTATGCTTTTTCAGGTGCAAAAAACACAACGTTCCGATTGAGAAGATCTACAACAAGACTCAGAGAGATAAATTCCGATGGGCAATAGACATGGCTGGTCCGGACTATGTGTTTTAACCCCGCGGATTGTCATCGTCATTATCGTCAAGGCCAACGCATATCGGTCCATGAGAGGAGTATATCTCCCGCTGACGATGTATCTAGTGAATTTTACGTTCTAACGAGCAGCCAGGAGACTTAAAGTAAGATAAAAGAAAATGAAAAAAAGAAGAAAAAAGAACAGCATGGAAAATTTTTTACACTTATGCGATAAAAAAATGTGAGAGTGGGAACATATTTTCTACATAATAATGTGCATCACGTGCGGATTAAACAATGCGATTGGTATATCTGAAGTGTTTAATTGAATACAATACGCAAAATCGACGAGCCTGTCTTAGACAAATCGTAGGCGTTTTGTCATGCTTTGTATTCACATCGCTAGCTTGTTCGTCTACATGTTGGTTTGTACAAACTACTCAGAAGTGATAATTCGTAGGAATGATAATTGAAAGAATGGTTACTGTGTAAATTGCATGTGACTTTTTATGCGAAGGAAAAAATATTTTTATTTCGTTTAGGTAGAAATTCATTCTAATTTGGCGTAAAAAATTGCAAAAAATAAATTACGGAAAAAAAAGGACTTCAAATTTATGATGGCACACGCGTGAGAGAGGCAGAAATCGAATTTTGCGAAAAGCATAAGGAATCGTATGGTCGACTTCGGCATGCGAAGAAGCTATAACTGCGCTATTGTATATATGTAGGACATATTCATATGAGTGAAACGCGGATATCATTTACGATTGTGTCCATATTAAAAAAGAAAAAAGAGAGGGAAGAAAAGAAAGAGGAGGAAGGGAAAGAAAACAAAAGAAACCAACTCGGAGCAGGCAGCTGATAAATTTTATATTTCCCTTTAACGAGCATAAACACACATAATGCACTTGTTTCTCTCATAAATGTATGATGTCATTCATCGAGTATCACATTTACATTTTGCAGCATCATGTCGAAAACATATATGTATTCGTAGAACGTATTCGATATTGTGCACTTCTCTTTTGATATATAAATGGAAAAAAGCGTACTAGCAAATTTTCGCCGGATCACGATTCGCCCCATCCTTTCACCCCCACCCCTCCAAGAAACTCAATAGTATAAAGAAATATCGGAATATATAGATATATATATTTAAGCGAATTACATCGCTTTAGCGATTTATGTTTTATAAAATGATGTCTAGGCTATAAAAATAAACGAAAGATGTATCCCTTAATTTTTTAACGTTATTTGCACATCTTACGTGGACCTTGCTCAGTACCGAGCGAAAGGGTTACTAGGCACATATACACGCGTGTATGTTATATATATATATATATATACATACATACATATATATGTATATGTAATATGCAGGAATAGAAAGTAACATTTCTCATCTCATAATATATTTCGTGCAAAATATATATATATATTACAAAAGTAAGTATATAATACATATAATTATATACATGTATGAATTATATGTATTTGTATGTATATATACATGCATATATATTTTATGCCCATTTGACGATAAGCATTAAAACATAGCGTCAAGAGTTTTCCCATTTTCATGATTAATTGTGAAACAATCTGGCGCATGTGCTTAAATAACACGTAAAATACGTACGAACGTATTTATCTAGGAGAAATTTTATTCGCGGCGTCGTGATCCTTACCTCCTTGCTTTCATTCTCCGTGAATTTTTTACATTGCGAAGCTAAAGCGCGAGTGAAACTTTTGTAGAAGTTACGAAATTGGCGCCGGATATATACGGAGATTTGCGGGACTTGCGAAATTCTGTTCACGTAAAAAAAAATTCTTAGGTATCGACCTACGTGATCTATGTAATTGTATCTCATTATGCGACAGTGTGTGTCTCGAAAACAGTAAAAAGGCTTATCATTGTTTGTAATTCGTGTGCTATAACTAACTTTTAGTCTTTGTTCCTTTAATTCGGATCCGCCTCATGCTACGCCCATTTCAACTAATATAAATTAATTTCAATCACAATTTAATTTAATATAAACTCTGAGAGAAAGGGCACTAGGAATCAGGCGCAGATAACTTTACGCAATTGCTAATGTATAACAAATATTCTTTATTATGAAAGACAAACTTACATATTTTGGCTTACATTTTTTAAGCCTTCTTCGGAGACAATGCGAATATGAATAAAAATAACATTAAAAAAGGATCAAGAGATGAAATTAACATCAAATGTGATTTCTTGTAGTGGAGCTCACTATGATAAAGTTGATTCTTTTTTAATGTTATTTTTATTTATGTACATTGTCTCTGAATAAGGCTAAATAAAAAATGAGCTGAAACATGTAAGTTTATCTTTTGTAATAAAGAATATTTGTTATACATTAGTAATTGTGTAAAGTTATCTGCGCTTGACTTCTAATACCCTTTCTCTCCGAGTTTATATTTGATTTATACAGGAGTTTTTGTTAACTAAATTTATTATGTTTCAATTTAATTTATTTTTTATTTGGTTTTAAAAATCAGAAAAAGATGCATATATAAATTAAATCGAGAAATTTAAGTTAATCTGCAGATGTGTTTTTGTACAAATGAACAGAGAAAGAAACAATGATAACAATTATAAAAGTGAGAATTACACAAGTTTTAGAATCAATGTACATAATTAAATAAATTATTTTATAGCTATTGCAACTTATTTAATTATGAATATTAATTTATTCAACTATATGTACATTAATTTTACATATAAATTATAAACATTAACTTATTCAATATATATACATTAATTCTCTATATAAACTTGTATAGTTGTCATCTTTGTAATTATCATTATTGTTTTTCTCTGAGTGTAGACGAACCAGACCGAATTCAACTCATCGGGATTATTTCGCAGGAAAAAATATCATTATTTTGTTGAATTTGTACATACGACGAGGCGCTGCCCGTTATCGATCGTTAAGGATACGTATTTAAGCATTCGACGCTTAAGAAGGAAAACGCGAGTCGTATTCCGCTATCTATCGGTTGGGATGCAACGCGTTACTTATGTTACGTGCGCGAATAATATGCATAGTTACTACTAGTTAATTATAAGATACACACACGTAGATATATATGCATATATTTATACGTAAGAGGGTACACAAGAGGGTACGCGTTATCATCGAAAGAGAAAGACATCTCCGATATTGGCGGATCTGTTATCAATTATTTTTTTTCTACACGAAAAGATATATTAACTAATGCTTTAAGATCTAATCTACAATGGATGTAGTAAGCCTTCGTTCTTTCACTTCAAGCTCTAAACTTTAACAGCGACCTGGCTAGATCACAGCTAAAAAGTTTAGAAACTTATCATTAAGGAAAATTAATATCACAGCTCAGAGCAAAAGGCTCATTGCACTTATTGCTGATTGGGTCTAGTTGGAACTAATTTTGTTAATCTAACATATTGTATTCTTGTTTTTAATGAAACAAGTATTTGTATTAATCTTTAGAGAGCTATTGCAAAACTCAAAATTAGTGTCTATTACGTGTTAAACATACATATTTTTCCTTAGAGTAAAGTTTTCATAATTTATAAGAAAAAGATCCCACAGCCCTCTAATGATTATAATATTATTGTTATATTAACGCTTTGGTAAGGAAAGTTCTCATAATGTCCCATAATATTTTAAGAATCTTTCACGTTTTGAGTTTATGAAGATTCTTAAAAAAAGCCTTAAGAACTTCAAATTTTGTAAGTTTTCTTCAGTAATCAATTTCTTCTTATAAAATAAGAAAATTTAGGATATTTTAGAAATTCACATATATAAAAATTCAAGAAAATATTTTAGACTTTCAGTATTTCTTAAAAACATTTCGATTCATATTAAAATATCTGAAAATTTTTAAAAAGTTTTAAAATTATATAGAAATTGTGAGAATTTCGAAAATTTATAGAAATTTTGAAGAATATATTATGTGAAGTATTTTTACCGAGGAAAGATTATTTCCAATTAAATCTAATGCTGTTAATATATCATTTCTTTCGTGAACAAATCATGTGGTACATAAAAAAACGAAGAAATTAGCAGAAGAGATCTCGTTTTGATCCTTTCGTTATATTTATACACATCGCGATTTTTATAGAAGTAGTTATCAGTTATCAAGTTAAACGAATTGTTATTTATTATGTAATAGGTATTGTTCACACACGCACACGTATACACACATGCGATACACTGGATCACTAGCGATAGTAGGTTGACGATATCATATTGATAATTGCGAAGGAAAGAATCAGTGGTATACACACTCTAGCTAGATCATAGCAGATTGATTTTAGACTGGACTACGAAGTATTGATAATACGATAATGTGTACGTTTTCACGAGTAAAAAGAAAGACACGATAGGCCGCTCGCAATTACTCGCAATACGAATAATAGCAATGTAAATGAATCATGTAACAAGAAAGAAGGGGAAGAAGAAAAAAGTGAGAAAAGAAAATGCAATCGGCGAGCGTGGGCCTTTGTCGAGCACGATAAGATTTTTAACTTTTACAAGGAGAGACTAGAGTAGGAGTGCAATTGATATCTAGTACAATTTTCTGAGCCCGCGTGATTGGCGTTAGGTACATAATGTGTATGTTTAGTGATTATCACACTTTTCGATATATATATATTATTGGAATAATAAAAAAATTAGTGCCAGATCAGCAAACAGTCGACTTCATTTTTATGCATCCAGTTTTCGTGTACAGGATATTTCCTCTTTATTATATTCAAGAAGGCAAAGAGGAAGACGGTTACTAACGTGATACGTGTTTCTGACTTTACTAATTTATTATTATAAACGACAAAGTACAATAATATATTATAATACCATTATATTACTGCGCAGTTAGTTAGAGATGATAAAAATAAATTATATATATACAATTATATAAAACAAATGGATATATATAAATTATATATTACAGAAAATTTATAATTTATATATTAATTATAAATTTTATTTAAATGTAATTATTTATATATAAATTTATATTATTTATATATAAATACATTATTTATATATAATTGTTTATATATGCATAATATTTAATCTCTCAAAGTAAATAGAGTGTAAATCCGTAATAAATATTAAATTGTGTAAAAACTTAAAAACGAACGTAAGTGTCCTGGACAGTATGCAGTAAAGTTTCATGACGCGCGAAGAGAGTCACGTGAGAGTAGCCGAAAATTTATTAAATATTAATATCGTAGAGAGAATTAACTGTATTTTATCTTTTGCAGTATCAAAATCTTGTTTGGTAAACATCAGACAAGCATATCAAATTTCTCAATTTCTGAATCAAAGTTTCAGTTACCGCGAGAAAAAGATCTCGGCGATTTTTGACGTTACAAGAAGATGAATATCTTAAATCCGTTAAAATAGAAACAAGATAAAATCCCGCATGCAAGGAATTCTTTGGCAACGATCTCATTTATACAATTTTGCAATTATTTCACGTTTTATCAGAATGACGCACTTTCATACTAATTATACAATAAAATAATGAAGAAAACTATCAGCTACAATCTTCTCACGATATACTGCACATAGCACACGAACGCTTCCGTTTAGTGTATATAAAATATAAACTCTTGAAAAAATTTAATTTCTTTTCCTCCGTTCTTTACATTTTTTTGGTTATTGTGTCACAGCAGCGTAAATACAAAAAAAGATAATTCCTACGTTGAAATAGGTAGACTAGACTATGCTAAATCACGATTTCATTTCTTGCCGCGTAATGAAGCTCATTACACGGCGAGATTGAAATCTCTGGTTTTGGGGAACGTCCTCCGGATCGCTACTTACAAAAAGCATAGAATTTGTTCTTATAACATGACCTCTACCGTGTACTCTTCTAAGGTAAAATATTAGTCTTTCATGATTAATCCTTTCCATCGAGAAACGCGACTTTTCGACCCGATTAGCAAAATCGAGGCGAATAGCAAAATCGTTATAAATAATAGTAATCTCGCTTATAAAAGATGCTCCTCTCCTCTCTCGAATGCATGATCTTAATTCCTCAGTCCTCTGTAGTCTAACATTACTATAATTCTATCTCTACTAAACGCGTACGAAAGTTAACAGCTGTCTTTCAATGTACAGTTTTAACAAATCCATCTTATCTCTTTTTTTTGTCATTAATAACTAACATAACATTCTTGCGTTTGTCGACGTTGTTCCGCGATAGAATGTTATACAAATCGCGTGCGTGTCATACAGTATCGGTGCGGTTCACATATAACAACGTATAATCGATCGAAAAGAACAATTTATCGCAAAATAATTGCGCGTAAGATAATTTTTATAAATAAATAAAACATTTTTCACTCTAATGACTAGCGTATTGATTGTATAAA